TGTTCCTGGCCTGCCGGCGTCGCGGGCAGCACGGTGATGGGAGGCGCATGGCGTTTGGAGTGTGAGGCTCTGTGGTTGGATCCGCTTTTCCCACATTAGCGCTGAGCCGGTGCCTGGCAGCTGGCAGCAGCAGGACGCGTGTCCTGCTGGGACCACAGCCCCGGCGAAGCCGCCCACGAAGGGCACGGGTGGCACCGGGACTAGAGGGGACGGTTGCCCTCTGAAATCCTTCCCTGGGTCAGGCTGCTCAGCACCTTGCAGGACTGAGCCCTGGGGTTTACAGCTATTTATTTCCCAGTGGATTGCTTTATTTTACCCTCCTGGGACTGTGGGTCCGGATCGCGTCACTTGGGGTGGGGTACAGCCTTGCCTTGCATCCCTCCTGTGCCCCTCGTGTCCCCAGGCAGCCCTGGGCACGGCTTGGCCAGGCGGAGGTGGCTCCTCCAAGCATCCTCGCGTCGACCCACCCGAGTGGGACCCCTGGGAGGTCTTGGGGTGGCCTGGCCGTGCCACCCTGGGGCCCTGCCCACTCTGGGGCCCGGCACCTCCAGCCTCGGTGCAAGGCGAGCATCCCATGTCCCCTGCATCCCTTCGTGCCGTGGTGTCATGCGGGTGCTGTGCCACGAGGGGACAGCACTGTCTGCACCAGTGTCACCGCTGCCACCTCCTGGCCCCCCACCCTTGGCCCCTGGGAGCTCCTCGCAGGGCCAGGCTGGGGCTGGGCTGGGCTGGGGGTCCCACTGCACCCTTTCTCATGGCACTTGGCAACATCTTGCTCCCGCTTTGTCCTGTTGGCAGTTTACTGGGGGAACTGGGAGCCCCGTGTCCGCATGCGCATCAGTCTGTCTGTCCGGGGACAGCAGAACAGGGTCCTGTGCCCCAGCACAGAGCAGCGTGCGGTGCCTGTGCCCCAGCACCCCTCCCTGCCCTGCCGCGCGCTGGCCGTCCCAGCCACCCCACATGGCGATGTCCCCGCGGCCGTGCCCGTCCCGAGCTGGCACCGGAGGAGCGTGAGCACCAATGGGTCACGCGTGGACGCCCGTCCCCGCAGCGGGGACAAGGTGAAGCGTTGCTGTCCCTGCACCGCTCCAAACCCCGCTCAGCCCCGCTGCCGGCCCCGCTGCCTTCCCCGCGACGCCTGCGCTCTATAAATAGCCCTCGTAAATCCCCGCCGTGATTATTTTCCCCGCTGTCGCTTGAAAGGCCCCACTATCAGCCCTAGCCGCTGATTTTTCCACCTTTC